TATACATAGGTAGAGAAAGGGGCCTGAGCAGTATGCATGCTTTCATCCATCTCCGCTTCCTGATTATTAATGTGATATGATCAGGAGTTTTGAACTCCTGCTGCCTTGACTTTGCCTGAAATAATGGACTGTACTTTGAACAGTGAGGCAAAATAAAAAAATCCTTTCTCCCTTGAGTTGCTTTTATCAGAGCAACAGAAAAAGAAACTTAACACAAAGACCAAAATGAAATAACAGAGGTCATAGTTACAGAGTCATACTTTGTCCACTGAATGAAGACTAATACTAGTCACTGAAACACCTCTCTTAACAGACAGAAAATCTTAACACTGACTAAATTCAGAAGTCACATTTTGAACTTAGTCAAATATGCACACCAATCCTGTTCATATTTACAGTTGAAATCCTGGCCACAAATTCATGTGGTTCATAGATAAAATGTTAGCTGTGGTTTAAAAAGTTCAGGACACTCCTTTGGCTTTGGTGCAGTTTGTCATCTAAAAGTGCAAATGTAAAGATGTGGTTCCCCAAAGTGACAGTACAGGGAGCTGAGGCCTTATGAGAGATCCTTGGTAGGATCTGACCTCAAGGGATCATGGAACACTGTTCCCTCTCTCTGTTTCCTGGCTTGGAATGTAACTTACCATTCCAATAAGAGTTCCAACCATTTAATAAGTAGGACTGTTTGATCTCAGAATTAAGCTTCCCAAACTGTGAGTTAAATAAACCATGTCTTTGCTGCCTTAGGTATTTTACTGTAGTAATACAAAGCTACAAATATAAGTATACCACAGATAATGTCCACATGGCAACATACTGAAATATTAGATACTGGATGAGCCTTATCATTGACTATAGACTGATATCTAATTATCAGACCAAGCATAAACTCTTATTATGGATACTGATTGAAACTTAACCTGGTGAATGAATCACTGAGCAAACATGCTATTCATATTCCTGCATAACCTTTCTCTAGGCAAAAAAATTACTATGAATACTAACTCTAGGACAAGATATAACTCTGGCCGTTATTGAGTCTCAGTTCTAGAAATAAAAATGAACCCAGCATTGTCCAAAAACTAAAGTGAACTTCGAGTCCTACCATTTCATGTGGTCTATACAAAGCTGGACTACAGACTGAGCTATGATCACAATCTTAGAATCAGGCTTTTTACACAATGTTTTTACAATGAGGTATAATCTAGACCATTCTGGACTACTGTCCATCTCAGTATGAACTTTAACATGGATCAAAGATGCATCTTGGTCCATGGGCTGAGATATGACTATAACTCTGGAGCCTAATATTGTTACCGGGTTGAATAGTAATATTTGCTTTATGGCCCACTACCATGGATCCACATTGGCCTGTAAACATAGCTACAGACCAACAACTTATACTAAGAAAAGGTTTAAATCAAACACATTCCACATTATAAACTTGAATCTAACTGTGACCCAATGAGGTCTATACTGGCTCTGTAAATAATTTGAAATTTGCCCTATTAACTGATCCTGAATCCATTCAGTATTATTTGCTAGTATTTCAGAAATGGGCCACTATTTCATAAATTTACTCTGCTATACAACAATGTGTCAAAGAGTATCCTAACAATGAGTCAAAGTGTATCAACTTTCTACATATGTATACCCACATATTTTAATAAGCCATGTAGAAATATATAGGTATACATACATATATATGTATACATATATACATACATATATATTTAGGATAAGTAGTATTCATGTGTATATATACACACATATACATATGTATACATTCATTATACATACCTATATCTATATATATTCTAGATGAATCTCTCATCTCTCTCTCTCTATATATATATATATATATATATATGTGTGTGTGTATGTGTGTGTGTGTGTGTGTGTGTGTATCCATTGGTCTTGTTCCTTTACAGAACCCTAACTAATATACTGTCCTATTTGTATTCCCTTTATCCACTTCTCTTGTCTTGTTATTATTGCTCAAACTAAGACTTTAAGAACTATATGAATGGGGAGGGGATGCGTGAACATCCTTGTCTGTTGCACAATTTTTGTGGAAATGCTTCCAGTTTTTCTCTGTTTAACATGATGTTGACTGTGGACTTATTATTACCTTTATTATGTTGAGATACATTCCGTAGATTCTCCAGGAATTTTATCAGATGTTGGTTTTATCAGAGGCCTTTTTAAAAAATCTAATGAATAAATCATGTGGTTTCTGCCCTTGAGTCTATTTATGTCCTGGGTTACATTTATTGATTTATGTATGATGAACCAACATACCTGTATATTTGGAATGAGGCCAGTTGGGTGGTAATGGATGAACTTTTTGGCGTGTTGTTGACTTCAGTTTGTAAGTATTTTATTGAGATTTTTCATCTATGTTCATCAGGGAGATTAGCCTGGATTTTTTTTCTTTCTTTTTTCTTTTTCTTTTTTTCTTTTCTTTTTTTTTTGGTAAGGAGGTATTTATTTGGTTTTAGTATAAGGTTAATATTGATTTTATAAAAACAATTTAGTAGTGTTCTTTCCTTTTGTATTTTGTGGAATGATGGGAGGAATTTTGATACTAGTTTTTCATTAATGGTCAGGTAGCATTTTATGTTGAATCCATCTGGTCTTGGGCATTTTTTACCCAGGAGATTTATTATTACTGTTTATGTTTTGTTTGCTGCTTTGGGTCTCTTTATATTACTTATTAAATCTTGGCTTATATTTGGTAGGCCATGTGAATCTAGAGGTTCATCCACTTCTTTTAGATTTTTATTTTTAGTAGAATATGAATTTTTAATGTCCTTATGATTCTTTGAATTTCCTCACTGTCTGTTATAAGGTCTCTCCCTTCATCTCTGATTTTATTAATTTGGGTCTTCTTTCTTTCTTTTGATTAATTTGCAATCCCTCAATGTTTATTTGTCTGTTTGTTTTGAAACAGGGTTTGGTGATATTTTGTGTGTGCTGTAACAAATAAAGCTTGCTTGGAGATCAGAGTGCAGAGCTAGCCACTAGAGTCTAGGCAGTGCTGGCACACACCTGTAATCCCAGCACTTGAGAGGAATAAACAGGAAGTGATATGGCTGGGCCGAGAGAGGAAGTAATAAGGCAGGGTGGAGACTGGAGTTTGGACCTTTCAGGCTGAGGATTCAGGAGAGGTAATAATTCTCTCTAGTGGCTAGCTCCTTTACTGATCTTTTGGTAATTATCCTGATATCTGGCTCTGGGTTTTTATTATGAAGACCAATTAGGATTCACGTTACAACAGGGTCTCACTATGTGCCCCTTGGCTGGCTTGAGACTCACTGTGTAAACCAGGAAAGCCTTGAATTCATAGAGGCCAACCTGTCTCTGTATCCTGGATGCTAGAGAAGGTGTGCACCACCACATCTGGCTTTCATTTTTCTTTTGCTCAAAATGTAGGCACTTATCACTATGAAACTTGCTCTTAGGCTTCCCTTCATTGCGTGCTATAGATTTTGATATGTTGTGTTTTCATTTTCAATCAATTTTAAGAATTTTCCATTTTTCTTCTTGAGTTTTTTCTTGACTTAATTATCATTCAATAGTGTGTTTAGTTTCCATGAATTTGTGTACTTTTCATAGTTTCTATTGCTATTGATATCTAGCTTTATTCTACTGTGGTTCATAAAATGCAGGATGTTATTTCAATTTTCCTTTATTTGTTTAGACTTGTTAACATGTTCTAACATGTTAATTTTGGAGAAATATCCATAGGCTGTTGAGAAGAATATGTACTCTTTAGTCTCTGAGTGTACTATTCTGTAGGTGTCTGCTAGGGAGTTTCTCTGTTTAGTTTTTGTCCACATGAGCTGTCTATTGGTGAGTGTTGAGTATTGAGGTCCCCCACCATGGATGTATTGGTATAAATCTGTGCTTTTAGATCTAGCATGTCTTCATGAAGCTGGGTCTACCTTTGTTTATCCACCCATATATCTATTATAAGCTATAGCATTAATATCAGTATATGTCACACCCATTGATCTTCACTGCAAGAATGCAGCTTCACTGCCTATTTGTTTAACAGATAGGTTTCTTCTGGGCTATCCCACATCACATTTTCATATTTAATTATGACAAGTTCTAAGGGAAAATATAATCCCCAATTAGAAGTACATAGTTTTTTGATGATTCTAATAAACTGCAAACTTTGACAGTCTTTTTGTTGTTGTTTTGTTTTTTTTAGAGACAAGGTTTCTCTGTGTAACAGGGCTGTCCTGAAACTCCCCCTGTAGACCAGGCTGGCCTCAAACTCAGAGCCTGCCTCTGCCTCCCAAGTACTGGGACTGAAGGTGTGTGCCACCACAGCCCAGCAAACTTTGACATTCTTAAAGGTACCTTTTCAGTTAAAATTTTAAGCTTAACAGAACAGAAATTACATATATATCTCAAGAGTGAATATAGTATTGGTAGCACAGGTATTTAACTCTGCATCTCAAGAGGCTTAAGCAGTAGGATCCGTGACTCGAGACCAGTTCTAGGCTAGATAGCAGCATTTTGCCTGAAAAACAAAACAAAAAATCAACCATACTCAGACTTCAGTGAGAATGTCAAATCATAACACAATGTGAACGTGCTTTCCTCAAAACGAAAGTATTTTAAAAGCATTCAAAAGAATCTAGAACATTAGTTTGCCTCAGCAAGTATTTTATACCCTAAACTAGTCTGAGGGGCCATGTGCACTAAACTACAATACCCAGAATACTCTCCTGTATCTGAACTCAAGGGATTATCGGAAGCTTGGTGTTAAAAGAATTGTGGGTATCAAGAACTGTCTTGACTTCATCTCCCACAATCCACTCGCTTTCCACCAATGCCAATATAGGATAGTTTCGAGAAAGAACAGTCTCCAGTTACTTCAAACTACATTTCCCATGAAGACATGCGCTTAGGCCCTAGCTTCCCTAGTGACCAGTAGCCAATGGGAAAGGCCTCCGTAGACACCCTGTAGGTTAGAGTCCAGCCATTGGGCCCCATTGCTTGGCCTAGGCCGGCTCCAGAAGGTGCAGAGTTGGGAGACAGTTGTGGGGCATGCGGTGCTGCAAGGGCACTCCGGGTCCAGGAGCTTCCGAGCGGGCTCGATTTTCCGCGGCTGTTTAAGGAGTAGAACTTCGGTAGCCGCGGAGCTGGAGGTCAGCGAGACAGAAAGCCTGAGTGGCAGTGGCCGGGGACTGTGGGACCGAGGGGGCCTTGGGAGGAGGGTGCTTCCGGGGCTGCGGTCTTCAGCGCCTAACTCCGCCCAGCTCCGCCACTTGAGGGGTGGGGGTGTCCATGGGAGTCAGGGGGTGGGCACCAGTTGCCGGAGCATCCAGAACATAAGCACGCACCCCACCCCCAACTCTTTTGTTTTATTCCTACCACCACTCGCCCCTCTCCCTCACACCACTCAGCATGTGCTGCTTCCTAGGATGTTAGGGCTGAGTCTTCCTTAAGTCGCATCTGGACTCCTTCATGCAGGAAGGAGTGCTGTTTTCTCTCACTCAATTTGTAGTTTAGGTTTGAACATCTACCACTGCAATCTCAATCTCTCTCTCTCTGTCTCTCTCTCTGTCTCTGTCTCTCTCTGTCTCTGTCTCTCTCTGTCTCTCTCTCTGTCTCTCTGTCTCTCTGTCTCTCTCTCTCTCTCTCTCTCTCTCTCTCTGTCTCTCTCTCTCTCTCTCTCTCTCTCTCTCTCTCTCTCTCTCTCTCTCTCTCTCTCTCTCTCTGTCTCTCGCTCGCTCTGAAAATTTCTTGCTCTACTCGGGTCTTGATTTTCCGTCAGATTTCCGTTTCTGCTTCCTGATGATGAGATTTTTAAAAAATCGGCCCATCTCTCTTACTGGCCCCTTTCAACCAGTCATTGGAGTGGAAAGGATGTACTCCTTCAATTTCCAGAAGGGATAGGGAGCAGAAGAAAGGAATCTTACATTTGAGAAATATATAATTAAGATTCAGTACAGTGTTCTAGTGAGAGTACAAGGGAAATTGGACCTATTAAAAAACCTGGAGCATTTTAAGAGCTTCCAACAAAGACTAGTTGGCACCAGTGTTGATAAACATTTAATGGGCGAGCTGTCTACAGAACACAGTAGACTGTGAAACACACTGCATTAATTACTGCATATTACAAATGTGTGCAAAAAGTGCCCAGGGCTTAGTGGAAGAGCATATAGATAGGAGGTAGAGGCTGAGTTGTGAAAGTTCTAGCCTAACTCAGGACTTGCTGAAGTCTTGAAATTTACCCTTCTTTTAGATCAATCCTAGTAGCCTTTGTGGAGGAGGTCACCTTTAATCTGGACTCAGTGGAATAAAGGAAATTTGAAATGAGTGAAGGAGGAAGATTTTCTGATGCAGGGGTTGGCACTTAAGAAGAAGGCATAGAAAAGGGAGAACTGTATGGCAGGCACGTTCCCATTATATAGGAGTTATCAGCAGGGATATATTGGGAGATAATATTTGGGAAGAATATACAAAGTTTGAATTTTATTGTGTATTGAATAAAATTAAGAACAAAAAATTAAGACTGGGTGATTTTCCTTTTCATTGTAGGGGAACCTGATTTGAGATCAATTCTTGGAGAACACAAAGAAGTGTGGTGGTATGTTCCAGGTGTGAGTTTAATTTAAATATAAGGAGAAACTTTTGTCTTGTAGATGTTTTGTTTGTGGCTGTTAGCCACAACCTGTACTTGTCAATTAGAAAGCAAAGTGCCATAAACATATTTTCTTAAGAAATGAGTTTGCTGTCCTTGTACAGCAGATTACCTGAATTGTAACCATCTGATTAGATAATAGTAATGACTGCTATTTATTGAGCCCACATAATATCCCAGGGTTCATCATAAACACTCTGTTACATTATCTGAGTGTCTTATAATACGTGTACTATTATTTCTCTTGAGGAAGAAACTAAAATGCAGATTTTAAGCAAATACCTGAAGTCACATAGATTGGAGATAATTGAGGTAGAGTTTCAGTGCACAGACTTGTGACTTGAAAGCCCATGTTCTTTCCCCCATGGTTTCCTAATCCTGATGTGCATTTTTGTTCTTGATTTTCCAGTTATGGCAAGGAAAGATTACTATAAGGTATAATTGATCATCCTGGAAGAAACCCAAATGAGTCATTTTGCATTTCTGTATCAGAGTGTGTCTGCTGTAAAGTAGTTGCCAATACCAAATTAGCTTAACTGCTATTATAACCACAGTTGATTATGTCTGCCAAAATCATAGTTAATATATCTTTTTTTAAAAATTAGATGATTCTGTGCAAAAACTTTCTTACCTCTAAGCCATTTGGATCTAGACAGTTCTTTGAGTTTTATTTCATTTTAGCTTTATAAAAGGGAGCCAGGTTACTAGATGTCCTCTGTGACCTAAGCACACATGATGTACAGAAAATGTAACAAAATACGAGGTTTGAACCCTCACTAGGTCTAGGGAAGCTAGGTAACCACAGTTCTGAGATACCCTAGAGTAAGGAATTGTGGGAGAGTAGAAACAGGTACAAAGCATTGTGGTAGGATAGAGGAAAGAGTGGCTAACCAGAGAGAGGGTTGGGGCTTTTGTGAGAAGGTGACATGATAGATAAGTCTTGAAGGGTAATGATTTGATAGGCAAAGAAAGGTAGAGAGGAGCCATTGGAGACGAAAGAATATGGACTGTTCATCATAGCGGGGGTACTGAGATTGTTTGGGACAAGGAAGTTTCAAGCAAAGTATGCTACAGAGTTTTGAGAGTGATTTTTGGAGAATTAGGTGCAATGCTAAGAAATATGAATGTGTTCCCACAGGCCCACAGACTCAAAATGTCGGGCTTGGACCAGTGGTAGTTACATTGTGCTTCTACACACATTTTAAATTTCATTAGTTGCATATTTGAATGTATCTGATAAAAAACTAGATTATTCATCAAACCTTAGGTTACATAGGATTTAATAAAAATAGAAAATACACTAGTCTTAAGTTGATTTAAAGACAAATACTAAGTAATAGTATGAATATGTTAAATATGGCCAAGTTATAACCTCTTAACCTCTTATTATTGGATGCAAGAAATGAAATTGTAGGCAATAGAAAAAAAAACTTCATTATTTTCAGGAAGAGAGAACAGTGGAGGAACAGTAGATGTTGGAAGCAACTGGCAGCTGCTCCCTCGCTTCTCTGATCCTTCAGGTTTTTACCCCAATATCTGACTCCTGTTTTTTTGTTTGTTTGTTTGTTTGTTTGGTTGGTTTTTTTTTTTTTTTTTTTTGGTTTTTCGAGACAGGGTTTCTCCATGTTGTTTTGGTGCCTGTCCAGGATCTATCTTGCTCTGTAGACCAGGCTGGCCTTGAACTCACAGAGATTCTCCTGGCTCTGCCTCCCGAGTGCTGGGATTAAAGGCGTGTGCCACTGCCTCCTGGCTGACTCCTGGTTTTTAGTGATAAGATGAATTAGATTTATGTGTCATCTTCCCATTTGTAAGATGACAGTGGAAAGGTTGCACCAGAGGGAGGCATGACCAATATCTAAGTAGGGTGTTTTCTTTAGAGAGATCATAAGTAGTGATGTGGGAGAGGAGGAAACAAACTTGAGAGATATTTATTGGTTAGAATTAGTTGAAATTGGTACATGTAAATACTATTCTATTAGTGTTTCCACTTGCTTGTTCTTTATATTTTATGGTGAGTATAACGTTGCCAGAGGATGCTATTTCATGCATTAAGGTAACAGTGTAGGGGAATTGTTACTCTTTGGGAGAGTGGATTTGGTTATGTAAAAGCACCCCTTTCACCTTCAAAATTCAATTTCAACATGAGTGTCTCTGGGAAGCCTGTCCAATAAACACTCTGCATATGCATGAACGCACATACAAGGCAAGGTTAGTATTCTCACTTCCGTAGGACCCATACTACCTCTGTTCAGATGAGATCATACTGTAGTGTGCCATTCCGTGATGTTTCTTCTTCAGTAGATTGTGAGCTCCTTGAGGGCAGGAACCACACTTCGTTCATCTTTGTTCTTAGAAAGAGTACTTGGGACAGCAGACATCTGACAAGTGGTTATCATTTGACAAAAAATAACAAATATTCACATGGATGCAACTATGGACCTTGGTAGTTACGGATATTAAAAAATAAAAAAAATGTAAATTGACAGATAAAGCGATTTGCTGTGTGTGCTACTTTTCCTGAATATAACAAATCAAATTCTCATACTTTCACTATATTTTCATTTTTATTATCTTTTTCTTTCTCATAGTTTAACCCTGTTAGGCCTGTTCTACTTCTCTTGACAGGGCTCACATTTCTCCTTTCTTGTTACTTTCCTAGGAAACATCTTCCTCTCTAGCCACCAAGTCCATTTCATTTTTGGCATTAGTCTTAAATGCATCTTCTCTTGGTCAGACACATTGGTAGTGGTGTGATAATTTTATTCAGCCCTTCTTTGAAAATGATTTGTCAATATGTGTCAGAAATCCTAAAACTGAACATAGTCTTTAACGGGTCATCATCAACTTCTAATGCTATATTTTGAGGAAGCAATCATATTTCCCACAATTCAGCCCCCAGCTTCCCTAGAACTGTTTATCATAATGACCAAAAAGGGGAAAAATGGCACCATAAATACCCAGTACTAGAAGTTTGAATGAAATCAATTGTGGATCATTAAGTAGCTACATCATCGAATGCTGCCAAAGTAAATTTCATGATGTGGAAATTTGTTTGTGATACATCCAGAGAAAATTCAGGCCATAAAACACCCAGTATAATGTAGCAGATTCCAACTTAAACATATGTATGTATCTTATACATGCCATGTAAATCTGTGTATGTACACATAGGAAAATTACTGTACTGTTTTTTTTTCTTTTTTTTTTTTTGGTTTTTCGAGACAGGGTTTCTCCATGTTGTTTTCATGCCTGTTCTGGATCTTGCTCTGTAGACCAGGCTGGCCTCGAACTCACAGAGATTCTCCTGGCTCTGCCTCCCGAGTGCTGGGATTAAAGGCATGCGCCAACACCGCCTGGCTACTGTACTGTTAAATATATACAAATAGGGGTTTGCTACAAATGACAAGATAACATGTGACTTCTACTTTTTATCATTTGTATATGTTTATTGTCCTATATTTTCCAGGGATACATTGTTCTTTATTTTTAAAGATAATTTCATCATACTTTATTTTTTTAATTTTGTAAATTTATTTTAAAATACTACTATTGCCATTGCTTTCGTTTGGGATGTGCTTACCAGCCAACAGAAATGCATCATTTCTCGCCTGGATTTCTACTGTCTCTACACCAACTCTCTACCCATCTGTTTTACATATAAAGGATTTTTTTTTTATAAATCACAAATCTGATTCTGTTCAGCCTCCATATAAATAGTTCAAAGGCTGCTCATTTTCCTTAGGATAATATCCAAATTTCTTTAGGCAGACTGATGAAAGCTTTGCAAATCAGATGTACTAGCATCAATTTTTCTTTTTATAACTAATAAATTTCTTGGGATTGTAGGCCACTGTCAGGCACATGTGAAATGTTTATAGTTGACCAAATGCTGATGTGGATTATATAAGCTAATTGTTGTATAACACACAAACTACTGGTATTTTACCCTCAGAGCAAACATATAAATACATTCAATAGTTATTACTATAATAAGCTGGGTGTGACAGAGGCAGGCACAATTCTGTGAGTTAGAGGCCAGCCTGATCTACATAGTAAGTCCCAGACCAGCTGGAGCTACACAGTGAGACCCTGTCTCAAAAGAAAATTACTACTATTTTACAGAATGGAAAGACTAATGTAAATAAATGATAGAAGAAAAGTTATCATAATAAGAAACTTTGTTAAGAAAAACTATTAAGCCCCTGCAGTGGCTCAGTGCTTTACACTTTCCTGAAATACCTGTTGATTTTGTCACTCTACACAGACTTCTTATAGTCCCTTGGGCAAGTTACGTGTAATCATAGCATAGCAAGAGCAGTCCCAAACTGGCATAGTTTTACTACATAATGGTTTGTATTGTGTTAATGTAGAGAAATCTTTTCTTACTTAAGACTTCATGGAAGGGAGTTGGAATAGTTCAAATTTTCCTTTGTTTCTTGAAAGTCTGTGTCTTTGGGAATGGGGATGCCAGCAGAAAGCTAGAGAAAATTGTGGTAGAATTGAGTGTACAAGAAGCAGTGCATGTCATGGGGGCCAATGTCATTGGTTATATTTTTTAAGTGCCATGTAAATGCATTTTTCAACAATCTATCCCTAGGGAAGACCTTGGTTGAATTCTACAGTTAATCCTATTTACAGATTATAGCCCATGCATGCACTATATTCTTGTGTTAAGTGATCTTAGACATATGTAGGGGATTACCATAATGACATAAAATTGCATGAATATTGGATATCAAATTTTTCTCTAAAAAAGTATATTGGTCATCATATAGTCACTTAATATCTTGTAGTGTGATTTCTCTTTCATTTTTCTTACAAATAATAACCATTGTGCAAAAATGAATGATCTTTAGAGGACAGAAGTTATGAGTACAAATCATCTGGGAATAAAATAATATTACTTTGCATAGACTACGATATCCCTTTTAAGCCCATTAGTTTTACAATTAATATG